TCTGGCTCTGACACCTGCAGGATGAACCTGTTTTGGCCCTATTCTGAGAGTAGGGAGTTTGACCCTACTCCTTGCCTGGTCTGCATTTGCATGGCAGAGGTGGCAGGACAGGCCAACTTCAGCCCTGAGCAGAGCAGAAGACAGCCTGAGAGGCAAGCACATTGGGAGCCCAGTGAAGCTCCTGCGGACCAGGGAAACTGGCTCCAAAGCTGGGTCCCAAGGGCCCCATCGTCCTCCAACCAGGACTGGACACTCTGCACAGCTCCCTTTTGCAAGTCATCCTGAAGGGGGCCCCCATGCTTTACATTCTTACAGTAGCAGCACCACAGCCACCTCTGCCAGGATCCAAATCCAACTCTAGGGAGAAAGCACCTCACCCAAATGTCCCAGAAAAAGAAATGAACTCATGGCGCCTTTACAGATTTTTCTTTCTTCTTTCCTTTCCTTTCTTTCCCTTCCCCTTCCTTCCTTCCTTCCTTCCTTCCTTCCTTCCTTCCTTCCTTCCTTCCTTCCTTATTTGCCAGAGGATATGAGTAAGGGTATGCATGCTCACTGAAGAGAGACAGAGAAAGGGAAAGTGAGAAAGCACCCCCCATGGGGGAGGATCACACTGCCATCCTGTCTCCTCTACCTCTCCCTCCCTTCCGGATGTGGGCATGTACATGAACCCAGCATATACGAAATGTGCAGTCAGTCATGTGGGATCTAGCTGCCTTAACTACCAGGCCACAGGCTGGCCCTGGAGCTTCTATGTTTACTCTGCCAGTATGTCCACCCGATAGTCCACCTAACCTTTAGAGACCTCGGTGGGGCTGAGGTGCTCACAACAGCCATTCCATCTTGTGGATGTGATCAGGGAGTCTGAATGACCCCACAGACCCAGAATGTGCAAAGGGCAGGACTATGTTTCCTAACTCTTTGTACTCCCTGATCCTTGTTGGCAGATTGCTCAGGTGTTCCCAAGACAAGAGCTATGGCTTTGCATCTTCCAGAAGTTCCACGAAGAACAGAGAGTTCCACACTGTGGGTACCAAGATAGATTACGGTCAAAGGCAGGAGCCTCTAACTCTCAGCTCAGCATTTTTTCTGTTTTCAAGCAGAAAAACACGAACTGCACATTACTTAAAAGCCATGCTCACCATAATAGCCAGAAGTTCTGTGCTCCAGGCCAGGAACATGTTAGTCTGCATGGAGACAGCCTTTAGTCAAATACACTCTGGAGGTGGTGTCTGGTATCAGCCTTTCCCTGAGCATCTGCACTCCCCACTTGGCAGTCAATAAGGAGGGGCGGTGGAGACAGTCATTCTCTACAGCTGAGAAGTATTCCCTCACCTTCCTCCATAAGACCCTGGATCCTCACTCCTGCCCCAGCAGTTCTGGCATCAGGGTGGGTACGGCTGTGAGCTGGTTCTGTAGCTTAAGAGTTTTAGCCAGCATCCAGTCCTACCATGATAGCATCTGACTTGCAGTAACCTGACTCTGACAAGTGGGGCTCCCTCAGAACATGCCTGATGCCCCTTCTGGACATGCTTCCGGGAGGAATTAGCTATGGAGGATCAACCAGTCCAAGACAGTCCGCAAGAGCCCAGAAAGGGGGCATCAGTGTTCACAGTCACAACGCACCCACACGGCAGCAACCAACACCAATGGCACAAGCAGTAATTTAATCTTCACAACGATCCCACAAGTGGGTGCTAATATTATCATCCCCATTTTATAGGTGAGAAACAGAGGCCTGGGCAAGTTAGGTCATTAATTCAAACTTCCACATTAGCTGAGATGAGAGGACAGCCCAGGCAGCCTGGATTCACAGCAGCTGCCCATCACTCCTAGGCCGTGCTGCCTCCAAACTACAACCAGTGACAGCACTTATCCATGCCTGGAAGTTTTCCTTTTGTTGAAATTGCTGGAGAGCGACAGAAAGAGAAGGAAAGTGAGATATCACACACACACAACCCCCCCAAGGGGATGATCATATCACAATCCCATTCCCTCCTTTCTCTTCTCAGAATTTTGGGCATGCATGCACATGCACTCAATATGTTTTTTCAAGTCACTGGGTCCAGGACTTGAGCTGCAGTTGGTCATGTGGGAATCCTTAACCACCACACTACCAGTTGGATTCACATCTGGCAGTTTAGGAAATGCTTTTCATGCATTGTGAGTCCTCCTAAGGTAGATATTGTAGTTATCCTCATTTTGCAGATTAGGAAACAAAACCTAATCAAGGTTTAAAAATGTCCAGGTCAGAGAGCTGGCAGAGGACAGCACTAGGACATGGACTGCTAACTGATCCCAGGGGCCACAGTAACAACTGAAAAGTTCACCACCTTTTTGATCTTAGAACTTCTATATATTCTTAAAGTTATTTAGGACCCCAAAGAGCTTTGGGGTTTATGCATTATATCTACCTAATAATACCGCCAGGTAATAGTAATTAAAAATTTTCAAATATATACTATTTTTGGGGACAGCAGGTAGCATGGTGGCTAAGGTCCTGGACTGTCACATGGCTGACCACAGTCCAAGTAATGGACCTTGCAATTTGCTTGCTCACTTTCCCTCTCTTTCTCCTTTGGTGGCCACATATGCTCTGTAGCAAATTTAAAAAGAATAATAATAATGATAAATAAAATTAAATAAATAATTCCCTTTTTTTAAAGAGAGATTTTTGCTATAGGGTGCATGAGCTCGCCAGAGAGATAGGGAAACAGAAAAATGGAAATAAACAATTCTTAAAGAAAGAAACTCAAATATATATTATTTCAAAATTACAAAAACCTGGGGCCAGCAAATAAGGTGCTGGACTTACACATGGCCAACTGCGATTCAGGTACTAGACCTGGTGGCTTGCTTTCTCACTTTCTCTCTCCCCATCTCTTTTTGGTTAAATTTTTTAGAAATGGTAATAATCAATAAAATTAAATAATTCTTTTTCAAAAATTACAAAAACCCATATATTCATATAAGATTTTTTATGAAAAAAAAAAAACAAACTACCTGGGACTAGCAGATGGTGTAATGGCTATGTAGCTGGATTCCCATGTAGTCAACCATGGTTCGAGTCCCAGACCCGGTGGCTTAAACTCATGCCAGATGCCTGTGTGTATATGCCCAAGATTCTGAGAGGAGAATAGAGAAGGGATTGTGGTGTGGCCATCCCCCCTAGGGGGTGATTTCTTGTTTTCTGTCTCTCTGTCTCTCCCAGTCTCTGGTGAGTGCATGTGCCCTATAGCAAAAACCTCTCCCCCCCCAAAAAAAAGTAAATAAAAAATAAACTATCAATTCTATTACAAAACAAAACATGTACTAAAAAGAGTGGCATTGCTTTGTATTTTGTAATGCTGTTTAGTGACCAGAGCCAGCCAGGTATTATCTCTGCAATGTCACACACCTTTGGGAAACTACATCCAGGTAAAAAGGCAGATGATGCCTTAGTTTTGTTATGCAAACAGTTTGACCACACACACCGCCCAAGAGGACCTAGGGACACCAGGCTACACTTTGAGAACAGCTTTGTATGCTGTAATCACTTTCAAGGAGTATCAGAGAAACGTCCAGTTTCAAAGCTGAAAGGTACTACCAGGTCCCGCAACCTGCCTTCAGGGAGACAGAAATTTTCACTCCCATTTTTGCAAAAAAGTAACAGAAAGATGCATCTCAGATTTTCAAGGAAGCTAGAAAGAGAAGAGGAGAGAGGTCAGAAGTATGACTATCAGATTCTGACTTGCATCCTGTCTCAGTCTCGGGCAGGATGAGGCCACCTGCTTACTAGTCATAAGGACTTGGGGCAGGCAGCCATGCAAGGAAGTGAGCCATGACATTTGCTGAGAACAGCTGAGGTACAAAACACACTCAGTCCTCATTTCATTAACTCCCCTGGCTCCCTGCCAAGTTTGCACTAAGATCACCCCTTAAGAAACTGATGGTTCAGAAAGACTATCTCGAGCAAGCTCAGCTCTGACTACAAAG